TGTTTAACAGTCATCCAGTTGAAAGGTACAGCCTACGTTCCCAGTATCGCTCCAAATATAACGAGCAGAGTACTCGAGCCTGGGACTGAAGCCGACCTGGAAAGTTCTAGGATGGGGATGCAGGTGAGTGCACAGTGCAAATGTGTGAGTGGTCTATCACTTTCCATTGCTGTTGTCACAAATTACCACAGACTTAACAACTTACAATCCCACCCACTTATAAGCTGACAGTGTTGGAGGTCAAAAGTCCAGTCACAAGTACAAGTGAGTTTTCTTCTCAGAAGGTGTGTGCCAGGCTGAGTTCTCATTTGGGGAGTTGGGGAAAATCCATCGTCAAGCTCAGCCTTGCTCTCAGCAGAATCCAGGTCTTTGAGGTTGTAGGAGGGAGGTCCCATTCCCTTGCTGGTATAGGGTCAGTTCAAGGGGATTTAACATAATGTGTCTGCATGGTGCATACAGTTTGGGGGGCAGGGGATTTGGGGAGTTATTGGACAAATCTGCCCACAACAGGTAGGATACCTGCTTCGCCTAGAGGCTCTTCAGAGCCAATTCTCCCGGACCTCTGTAACTTCAGGTGACCTTGGCAAAGAGAGGTGGATGGGATGGTGTATGTGACCCTGATGGGGAACCACAGGGCTGTGACTGGGAACTTCTAGTGGGGATTTGCTGTCCCAGTACTTATATGTCACATGAACCAACCTCCACTATCTGCATTAGAAGGGGAATCCTCATTGGTGAGTACCCTGCCCAGTCCATTGGTTAAGCAGAGTCCTGTGACTGCATGAGGGACCTTACCGGAGCATGACTGCCAAAGACTGGGAAAGCCTGTGTGACTCTCCTGCGCGTCTGCCATTGCTCACTTCTTCCCCAACAGTGTGGTGGTATCTGTGGGGATGGCATTCACTTATTCACTCATTTAGTCAAGAAAACACCTACTAAAGATCTATTTTATGTGTTGGTAAACACATGATTGTCTCTCATCTAGATTGTTATAGTAGCCTTCTCTTCCACCTGTTCCTTCTCCAGCTGTTTGCTGTTCCTCCTTCAGCCAAGCACTCCTGCCTCAGGACCTTTGCACCCACGGATCTGTCTTTCTACATGGCTGTCTCCCAGACTTCTACAGGGCTCGCTTCCTTCAGAGCTCTGCTCAGGCGGTATCTTTTCAGTGACATCGGCCTTGATCAGTCTCCATAAAATGCATACACACCCTCTGCATTCCCCATGTTTTTGTTTTTCTTCCATGGGCTTACCAACATGTGGCGTTGTATCTATTTTCTTGTGTATTTGTGCATCTCTGCCCACTAGACTGTGACCTATACCAGAGCAGACTCCGTTTTCTTCACTGCTGTGTTCCCCAACTGCTAGAATAGTTCCTGGCACACAGTGGGTGGATAAATGTGCTGTAAGGACTCAGGGGCCTGCTGTGAACAAAGAGATGGGTAAGAAAAGATCCGTTAGGGTGTTGCCTTTTGAGGAATTCATAGCTGGATGGCAGGAAAAGAGGTGGATCTAGACAGATCCCCGTGGTGTCACATTGTGGGGTGCTGAGGGAGCCCTGGTCCGGGCCAGGAGACTCAGAAGAGCCTTCCCAGAGCAGTGACATTTGACATATGTGACACATGTGCGGCAGTATAGGAGGCCACTGGAGAGAGGAGGGGTTCTCACCCCTTCCCTTGTCCCTCTGCTTCAGTCACACTGGCTGATGGCTGTCCTAAGTCCCGAGGAGCAAGGAATGAAATGCCTAAAAGGCAGAGGAAGAGGTGAAATAAAAGTCTCAGGTTCAAGTGCTGTGGTCCAGGCGCTCCCTGGAACCAATCACTGAGCGGGGAAGATGGATTGCTCTCATTGGCCAGGCGTGGGTCACGTGCTCCCCAGGAGCCAGGGTCAGGGAGGACATCTAATTTTTTAATCACAGGCAAACAGATGTTCATGAAAGGATAATGTGGGTGCCGTTTCCATACAGGGCAATAAATCCTGGGGGGCAAACCATTGTTATCACCGTTATTTTTCCTACTTTCCTCTTTTCACACCTGCCATGGCCATAACCTTTGTTCTGGTCTCAGTTTTCCTGTACCCAGGACTTTGTTCTGTGTCCAGGCCCCAGGCATATAAGGTGTGTGTGTGTGTGTACGCGCACGCGCGCGTGCGCGCACGTGCAATAGAGAAAGAGAGAGAAATGAAGGGAGATTTTGTGTGTGTGTGTGTCTATGATGTGGGAGTAGCATCTAGGTGTGTGTGTAGCATCTAGGGGTGTGTGTGTGTGTGTGTGTGTGTGTGTGTGTGTGATGTGGGGGGCACATCTAGACATGCTGGGCATGTAAAGTCGCCCCTGCTTCCATATAGTGACTAGGCGCCCAGTACCAACAGATCAGGCTTCATATCCAGACTGTGATAAACATGCTTTCTAGTTATTTACCGACAAGATAATTTCTTCAGGAATAAGATCCTATAGTCAGAACAACCGAACTATTAAAGGAGAACACAGCTTGCGTAGTGCCTTAGTCTGTTCTGGCTGCAATAACAAAACACAGACTGGATGGCTTATAAATAACAAACTTATCTCTCACAGCTCTGGAGGCTGGAAGCCTGAGATCCGAGTGCCATGAATGGGTGGGGACCCTTTTCCGGGTTGTAGACTCTCTCATAGCCTAACGTGGTGGCAGCAGCTACAGATCTCTCTGGGGCCTCTAATCAGGGCACTGATCCCATCTATGAGGGCTCTTCATGGCCTGATCACTTCCCAAAGGCCCCACCTCCTAACACCAGCAATTTGTTGTTGTTGCTGTTTAACTGGAGAGAGAGGGACGGAGGGAGAAGGAGAGAGAATTTTAAGGCATAGAGCCGGACGCAGAGCTCAGTCCCATGACCCGGGGCATCATGACCTGAGCTGAAATCAAGAGTTGGATGTTCATCTAACCGAACCACCCAGGCGCCCCACTAACACCATCAGTTTGGGCGTGAGTTTTCAACCTTTGGATTTGGGCAGGACACAAGCATTCAAGCTATAGCACATACTCTGATAAAGCCCTTTGTTTTGCTTCTTAAATGCTCCTCTGTCCTTTAACTGTAGAATGACCAGCCATCCTAAGGTTCCAGAACAGAAGGGGTTCCAAAGATAGCTTTAAAATAAGACAGTCCTGGCAGAGCAGAGGTATGAAAACCAACCAGAAAAACAAACAAACAAAAAAAAACCCCTGTGTTTTTAAAGGACTTTTAGGATTCTGAAATCAGAAAACTTAAACATGCACTTACAAACCGCTTTAATAAAAGCACTATGCTACGTTTTATCAAAAGGGAGACAGAACCTACATGCTGCAGGAAGAGCGAATTGAAATCACCTGTTCCTTAAATAATTATACCACGGCTCAATCGTAAGCAAAAGTTAATCTAAGTACAATACTTTAATAATGTATTTATTCTAAAAAGTGTTCCTAATTCTTCTGTAATACAAGGTATTTCATCTGCTATTGATGTATAACGCATAGGAGAAACTGTACAAGTCAAAAGACTCAGATCAATGAATTATCAGGAAGGTAAGACACTGTGTAATCACCACCCAAATAAATGGTTTTTAAAGTAAAAAAAAAAAAAAAGCCCACATCCAACTACAGAAGAATTTTCTTTTTGTTTTCTGAGACAGCAATTCTCTACATTTGGAGTCTGTATGTTCCTTGAGCTACCTAAACTGATGCCACGAGTAGCTACCAGCATGGCAGGCATAACATCAAAAGAAAATAATCCAATTCCTGGAGATCTTTGGAAATTACAAACTGTTATTCAGTGGTGGGAATTTTTACATAATTAGCAATTAACGTTTAAGTTTTTTGATAAAACATTTTTGATTAAAAAAAGAGAGTGTACTTATGACCATGTACATGTTTCCCTTCTGGAAACTACTACGATGGATTTACTTGGCCGCATCAGCTTCCTTGATTCCAATTTGCACGAGGTTAAAGATAAATGTACGTGGAAGGCCCTACATTACCAGCGATGCCACTTTATAAATGTGGCCAAAATGATGGTAACAGCTACACTGTACAAATCTTATTTTTTAGATGATTACTTTTTAAATAGATAAAAACAAACAAACAAACAAAAAAACACCTGAGGCCATCTGCCTGATGTATATAGCAGGCTAAGGGGAGCCCCGGAGGTCCTGTCTGGGCACAAACCAATTAAGTGGAGCACTCAGTGAAATTGCTTTCTCAGCCAGGATGGAGAATGATTGATCACAAGTCAAACTGTACACATGTCAGACTAGAAGAGTTTACAGGTAAATTTGGCCCAGGGCCATTGCCACTTCATTTCGCTGGCTGAAACACTTCAGGTGGTCTAGTCACCTAATTCTTTGCTCAACGAGATCCTCCAGCCAGTGTGGTTTCCACTTACCGCATGGAGGTAAAAAGAAAAGACCCATTTCTGGTCTTCATATGCAAGACGGGGCTAGGAGGTCTGTCTGTAAACAAGTGGTTCTCAGCCCCAGTGAACTTTGGAAATTGCTGGGGAGTTCAAAACAACAATAAAAGATCCAGATACTTAGGACACACCCAAGACCAAACACTCCGAATTTCCCAGCATCAAGCACGTTTTACCAGGTAATTCTACTCGTAGCTTAATGGACAACCCTGAGCCAAGAGATCGAATCGATAGCAAAGCCTCCTCCCTCTGAGGAATGTTTCTAAGACCAAACTTCCAGAAGGGTGGGGGTAATTTCAGCCTGCAGGTCTGGATGTCAGGGGCAGGACTTAGACCACGGGCCTCAGCTAGCCCAGCACCAGTTTAGTAATAGGTATTCTCAAGTACGTCTCCTTGGAGACACCCCCTGGTGAGCCGGACATCGAACAACAACCACAAGCCCCAAAGTACACCTGACCACCAGACGCCAGACCGCGGACTTCTCCACAGCGCAGAAACCAAGAGCCCAAGGCGCATGCGCGAGTCGAGGCCGCCGGCTGAGAGGCTGGGGAGACCGAAGCGCATGCGCGGTCGCGGGGGCTGTGCTTCCGGTCGGCGGAGGCGGGGCCTGGCGCGGGCTGGGGGCGGGACCTGGGCCGCGACCCCGACCCCGACCCCGACCTGAGCCCCGGCCGCGACCCCCACGCGCGCCCACCGCAATGGCCAGGCACGTGTTCCTCACGGGGCCCCCAGGTAACCCCGCTCAGGTCTCCGCTTTCGGGGGGCAGCCGGGGTAGGCATGGGGTGGAGGGAGCGGCCCGTGTACTTACTTGGGGAGGGGCGGCGGGCTCCAGGGTTCCGGCGGCTGGCCTCTAAAGCCCCCATCCGAAACTACGGGCTCCGTGACCCCTTCCCAGAGAACGTGATTTAAGTACAAAAGCTAGGGCTAGAAATGGGGCCAACGTCGGTGAGAAAAAGAACTGTGGTTTGGGGGTATGTGGAAGAAGCTTCTTTACGAAGGTATTAAAGAGGGGAGGGTCCCGCGGCAGCGAGCTTAACTGCAGTTTTGAATTGCAGCCTGTCTGCCTCAGCCGTGATTGATGTGAAGGTGCCTGGTGCCTGTTGATGGGCACACGTGCCGCCACCACCTTGGCTCTGGCCGGGTGTTTCACCTGAAGGGTCGTGAAATAAAGATGAGGCTTCCAGTTCCCAGTTGCCGGCAAGGGTGAGGCTGCAGGACGAGAAGCCTGGGTACCTCCCAGAAGCCCCTTTCAGATCTATGTCTGTGGGTGAATTCCTCAAGCCTATGGGATCGTGAATGGGATAGTGTGTGTTCACGTGAAACTGGGGGACTAGACGCTTTTGAAACCCAGGCCCTACGCCTGTATCCCCTGTGACTCAGGAAGGTGGCGGCCGCATCAGATAGATGGGCTCAGGCAGAAAGATGGATTGGAGTAGAGAAAAGTGATTTATTTCTTCAGCTCCTTTGCAAGGTGGGTCTAATGTTTAAATGAGCTGACAGTTCGGATATCAAAGAACGTCTGGGCCTAGAATCCTCTTTCACTTTATTTTAGTGGTTACCTGCTGCCTTAAGTAGCAAAGGCCATACTTAATATTGTAGACTCTGGAATTTTATGTTTACCCGGCAGTGGGGACCTGTGAGGAGAAATTTCGAACATCCAGAGTGCTCCCTAATATTGCAGAAGACTGTCTTCTGAAAGTTGATTGGCCAGTCCTTTATGTAAACCTGGAAATGCCGTTTTCTCAGCAGGCTGGCCCCGAGACATCTATGTGTTTCATAACAGAAGTGATCTGTTATTGTGATAGTATCTGCCTGCGTCCTGGAGGTGGCTGGGGACAGGGGTTGACCAGGTCAACGCTGGTTCTTCCTGTCCCCCTTTTTATAAAAGTTCCATGTACACACAGTTGAAAGATTCAGATAATTCTACGAGGTAGCTCTCATAAGCCTGTCCTAAAAACCAGTCACCTTCTCTTCCTCTCTATCTTGCTACTAGAGCTATAGTGTAATTTTGATTAGCTCAGTACAAGTGAAAGCTAATCACAGAAGAGCCATGTAGTTAGTAATCTATAATCGTCTTTTCCTTTTATGGATGACTTTTTTTCCCCTTTGGAGTTACTGTCTGTTTTTTTCATAGTTTCTCTCATCAACTCAAACTCAAACTCTGCCTGCTATCTAACTCTAATCTGTATATTCAGATCATCAGGTAATATATCTTCTCAGAGAGGTCACTTTTTGTTGTATATGCTCAGTGCGCCACTTGTGTCTCCTTGAACTTACCATTTTTCCCAACTGTCCAGCCGGAGGGCTTTATCTGGTCACTAGATTCTAGATCTGTGCACAGGGGCAGGCCTGAAGGGCCAGGGAATTCCTGTCCCCCAGGAGCAGCCTCCAACCCATGATAGATGGAAGTCTCTGGATAAACTCCCTACTTCCTCAGCCCTCAGGCAGGGAAACTGAGTCACGTGCCCAAAACTATCTCCCAGGATTCCCCGGTGGGATTAGCTATCCACAAAGGTAACTTGCTTGATCATGCAGTTCCTTCCCTTGGGGTTTTGGGGGGGGGGTGTCACTTTCCAAATTGAACTTCCTGCACCTGAATCTTTATCTCAGGGTCAGCTTTGGAGGAGAGCATTAGAACCAAAAAGATTCTGGAGCTTTCTGACTTGCCCATGCCTGTGCATGGTATGGAGCTATCATTTTGGGGTCTCCTTCCTCATAGGTTACCTCTTAGTGTAGACAGGGCTAAGGTAGTAGTGGCTACATTGATGGAGAAGAAAAATTAACTGAAAGCTAATTTCCAGTGCTTGGCCCAACGTGCAGGACACACAGCGGCCCCTTTAGTCACAGCTGCTCTTCATTAATCTTCTTCAAAATGTAACTTTTTTTCTTACATTAAGAGTAATACCCATTTACTATTAGACCAGAAAAAAAAATTCAGAGTTTTAAAGAAAGTGACAGTCACATGGAATTGCAGCATATAGAAGTGAGTGCTGTAAACTTTTCCATTTCCTTGTCAACATTTCCTGTAGAACGTATACTTCACTTAAAAAGAAAGCGTAATAGAATACTACTGTATATGCCTGCTGTGTCTTAACCTGCTTTTTCCCCATTTAGCATTGCTATATTGCAGTCTGTTTTCTGTGCTAAGAAAGATAGGTGAGCAGTATTCTCTTTAAGGCCTGCATGGCATTCCTGCATATTTATATTGCCAGTATATACATGCTACCATAATCCATCACTCCCTTACTGATCCTCATATAGGTTGCTTTCTGTATTTCTATAATGAATACGGACGTAAACCTCCAATTTCACATATCTTTATAGTGTCATCAAATTCTTGCTGAAAGTGAATTCCTAGGCATAGAATTGCTGTGTGCTGTGGAGGGCACACGGAGGTTACCCTTCAAAAAGTACCAGCTTACGTATCCCCCATTGCCAATGGCCTGCTTTAAACAAGTTCTTCAGGGACTATGATAAACAGCAGGTACTGGGGGACATAGCTGGGGATGAAAACCCTACACAGTTCTCTTCCGGCCATGGTGAGCATGTGGCTGGCATCCCTTTGGGTTGGTGTTCATGGTCCGGAAGGCCAGCTGCCATTGTTTGTTAGCGTGTCATTAGGAGGAGACATTTATTAAACAACAGATCATTGTTTACCTCAAGGAAGCTTAAAAGGGTTCTTGGGGAACCCCGATGGCTCTGAGGAGGCAGCCATAGAAATAAGATGACTTATACCACTGTGGTATCTCAAAATAGTCTACTGCAGACTTGCTGGAGGATTCCCATTTTTCCATTTTTGATAACCATGATGCCATTGGCTTAAATCTCTATGGAGCAAGTCATGGTGACACACAAAGGCCCCTGTTAAATTGTACGGTCCTTACTAGTTGTGCAACCTTGGGTAAGTTACCTAACCCCTCTGTGCCTCATCTGTAAAATATGGTCAAGAATGGTAACTGCCTGGGGCGCCTGGGTGGCTTAGTCGGTTGAGCGTCCGACTTTCGCTTAGGTCATGATCTCGCGGTTCGTGGGTTCGAGCCCCGCATCGGGCTCTGTGCTGACTGCCAGCTCGGAGCCTGGAGCCTGTTTCAGTCTGTGACTCCCTCTCACTCTGACCCTCCCCTGCTCACGCTGTCTCTCTCTCTCCTAGAAATAAATAAAACATTAAAAAAAAAAAAAAAAAAAAAAGAATGGTAACTGCCTGAGAGGGTAGTTGTGAGGATTGAACCCCGGAAATGCTTGTGAAGCATGCTAGAGAAGTGCCTGGTTCCACGGTGTTGGGGATTCCTAGTTATTTTATTAGCCGGCCCCTGTTGGTACCTGTAAACACATCAGAGTAGTTACCAGGTCAGGTGGACGGGGGTAGAGGTGCAGAGGGTGTAACCAGGAACGGGGTGGGGGGCAAGCCAGAGGAATGGTTAGAACACCAGAGGAGGTCACAGAAGGGGCTGCCAACCTGATGGGCTTGCTCTTGTGAGAAAGTTTGAAAACTGCCATTTCTCGTGGTGGTGGTGGTATTTAAGAGACGCTTTTTGGGGAGACACAGCAATGTTACGTCCACGGTGGAGTGAAGGGATTCTCATGGTTAAATGTAGATCCAGAGTGTTGGGAAGGTTGAAATCCTAGTTTAAAGTGCCCAGCCTTTGACCCAAGCATGACCAGTTTTACGTCCTGGTGGGAGTGTGGCCACCCAAGGAGGAGAGTACACGTAGTTCCAGAAGCTCGTCTCAGACGGTGCACATGGCACTCGATGGTCACCAGAAATCCACTCAGTTGGTTCCGGGATCTTGTATGTGACAAAATTAATAATGTTTCAGAATTTCACAATAAAACTTACAATCCCATTCATATTTTTATTACGCTTGAAATTAAAAAGCTTTAACACTTGGGATGATCAGAATTAAAGCGAATTAATATTCATAAAATTCATTTGCAGCCCATTTCTCTCCCCCTGTGATTGCTCTCAGGCCTGAGTGCTGTGCCCTCTAGCAAGGGGGGTGGCTCTTAATGTGCTTTTTTGTTGTTTTCTTGTTTTTCTTTCAGGAGTCGGGAAAACGACGTTGATCCAGAAAGCCAGTGAGGTTTTAAAGTCCTCCGGTGTGCCTGTCGATGGATTTTACACCGAAGAAGTCAGACAGGGAGGGAGAAGAGTAGGATTCGACGTTGTCACCTTATCCGGCACGCGGGGAGTTTTGTCTAGAATTGGGTACTGACACTTCATTTCCGCGGTGTTTTATTCTCCCTGGGCACAGGATCGAGCCAAATGAGCTCTGATCCCTATCTTGAAGAATCTTGGGCCTTTCTAGATTTCTTAGAGAAAGAAAACAGTCATGTGAAAAAGTACAAAGATAGCATACCTCCCTTAAAACTTACTCCACTGAGTAATACGTTTTTATCATTCTGTAATTCATCATCCTGTTTCTTGTGCCACTTTTCCAAGATAGTTGGTGTGCCTCCTCCTGTAGCTTGGGGATCCACACCCACCCTACCCCTCGCCCCCTGTAACTGTCAGGCCTGGTGGCAGTGACGTGGTGGGCATACTCTCTAGAAACCTTGTTCTCAGGAGACGGCATGGCGTCAGGTTTGTATAGGTGACCTCTAAGGGTGGTTTAGCCTATGTGGAAGGCCAGAGGCTCCGTGGAGTCGCTACAAACCAGAAATCAGTATGGGGTCTTTTCAACAAAGGATGTGCTGTTTTCTTCATTCAGCTCAGAGCCTCCGCCCGGGAAACGCGAGTGCCGAGTTGGGCAGTATGTGGTCGATCTGACTTCCTTCGAGCAGCTGGCACTTCCCGTCTTGAGGAACGTAAGTGTGTGATTTCTGCGTCTTGAGCCCGTTCCTTCTTAGCACTCCTGGGAACACAGTGGTTTTGCTGCTAACGAGTAATGAGTGTTGCATCTTATAATTTAAAAGTTTTCAAGTGATTGAGCTATAAAGAGGATGTGTACTGTAATTGGACGTCACTATGATCTACAAATAAACTCCTCATCACCCAAATTCAGCACGCAGAAATATTTTATACTGGGAGAATTCTGATGGCCAGCTCCCAAGGCTCCCAAGGTTAAGTCTTTCCTCTGCCTTCCTCCTATTTATATCTTAGCCCCGTTTTCATGGCACAACAAATAAACATTCAGGAAGGGAAAGTGTCATTATAGAAATATTACCCTTCCTCGGCTTCTGATAGGGTTACCTCCTGATAAACCCATCCTAAGTTGAAAGCTGCTAAGTGGAAAATACATCTAACCTACTAACCAACATAGCTCAGCCCAGCTGGCCTTAAACATGTTCAGAACTCTTCACCTCAACTGCGGTTGGTCAAGTTCATGTATCACAGAACCTGTTTTGTAATGAGATGTTGAATATCTCATGTAATATACTGGATATTGTACAGAAAGGGAAATACATAGCAGATGTGTGGCTGTAGAATGGTTGTCCGTGTGTCAGTCATTTACCTTCATGAGCGTGTGGTTGCCGGGGAGATGGGATGTGCTGCCCCTGCCCAGCATCTGGGAGGAGAAACTGCACGCTGCCGCTGGCCCAGGAAAAAAATCAAAATTTAAAATTTGATGTCTGGAGGCGCCTGGGTGGCTCGGTCAGTGAAAGCATCTACCTCTTGATTTCAGCTCAGGTCATTGTCTCACAGCTGTGAGATCAAGCCCCGCATTGGGCTCAGTGCTGGACACAGACCCTGCTTGGGATTCTCTCTCTCCTTCTCCCTCTGCCCCTCCCCCGCTTGGCACATATGTGCTCACTCTCTCAAAAAAACATTTTTCTGACCTGTGGTTTCTGGTGCATCCATACTGCTCTCACACCACCATAAAGTTGAAAAATCGTAAGTCAAACCATTATAAGTCCAGGACCACTTGTGATATACTGTATATCACTGTGTTACCTGGTTTTTCTTGTTTTGTTTTTCTGTTTTTTGTTTTAAAACAGCTCATTGAGATATATTTCACATTCCATACACTTCACTCATTTAAAATCTACAATTCACAGAGCACCTGGGTGGCTCAGTCAGTTAAGCATCTGATTTCGGCTCAGGTCATGATCATACAGTCCATGAGTTTGAGTCCTGCATTGGGCTCTGTGCTGACAGCTCAGAGCCTGGAGCCTGCTTTGGATTCTGTGTCTCCCTCTCTCTCTGCCCCTTCCCTGCTTGCACTGTGTCTCTTTTTCAAAATAAATAAAAATAAAGAAAATATACAATTCATTTTTTTCTAGTATATTCATAGAATTGTGCAGCCAGTCATCACAATCAAATTTTAGAACATTTCCATCCTTTCAGAAGGAAATCCCATACCCATAAAGAGTCATTTTTCATTCCTATGGCCCTCCCAGCCCCTGGTAACCCCTGCCCTACCTTTCTTTGCCTGTCAGTTTGCCTGTTCTGGGCATTTCATAAAAAAGGAATCACATAATGTGTGGTGTTTTGTAACTGGCTTATTTCACTTAGCGTAATGTTTTCAAGGTTTATCCACACTATTGCACATATCGTTCCTTTTCATGGTTGAATAATATTCTATCATATGGATATACTGCCTTTTGTTGACCAACCATCTGTTGATGGACATTTAGATTGTTTCCACTTTTTGGTTATTGTGAATAATGCTGCTCTGAACATTTGTGTACAAGTGTTTGGATGGACGTCTGTTTTCACTTCTCCTGGGTGTACACTTAGGACTGGAGATGCCAGGTCAGGCGGTAATTCTCTATAAATCTTTTTGAGGAATTAGCAGCCGGTTTTCCAGACCAGCTGCACATTTCCACCAGCAGTGGATGAGGATTCCCGTTCTTCACATCTTTGCCAGCATCTGTTATGATCTTTGTAATTCCATGCATTCTAGTAGGTGTGAAGCATTGTCATATTGTGATTGTGATTTGCGTTTCCCTGATGACTAGAGATGATGAGCATCTTTTCATGTCCTTATTGGCCATCTGTATATCTTTTTATGAGAAATGTTTATTCATTTGCTTTGCCCATTTGCACATTGACTCATTTGTCTTACTACTGAGTTGGAGGATTTTTTTTTTTTTTTTTAAGTTTATTTTGAGAGAGAGAGAGAGCGGGCATGCATGTTAGGGAGAGGCAGAGAGAGAATCCCAGGCAGGCTCCACACTGTCAGCACAGAGCCCGACTCAGGTCTCAGACTCACAAACCATTGGATTATGACCTGAGTTGAAATCAAGAACTGGACACTCAACTGACTGAGCCACTCAGGTGACCCTAAGATTTTTTTTTTTTTTTTTTGTAAGTTCTGGATACCAGTCTGTTATCAGTTATATGATCTGTAAGTATATTCTTTCGTTCTGTAGATATCTTCCCTTTCTTCATGGTGTCCTTTGAAACATGAATGTTTTTGAGAAGTCCAGTTTATGTTTATCTTATGTTGTATGTGCTTTTGGTGTTGTATCAAAGAAGACTTTGCCTGACATAACTTCGTAAAGCTTAACTCCTGTGTGTTCTTCTCAGAGTTCTGTAGTTTATTGTTACATATAGGCCTGTAGTCCAAACTAATTTTTGTATATGGTGCTTTCCAGATTCATTCTTTTGCATATGAATATTCACTTGGTTCAGTACCATTTGTTGAAGACTATTCTCTTTCCATTTAATTGTCTTGGCACTCTTGTTGAAGTCAGTAGGCCATACAATAAATGTAGGGATGAACCTTGGACTCCGAATTCTATTCCATTTATCCTTATGTCAGTTCTATCTTTTCTTGGTTCCATAGTACTCTGTCTTTATTACCAAAGTTTGGATTTTGACCGGGATTGTACTGAGTCTATAGATGAATTTGGGGGGGTATTGCCACCTTAACAATATTAAGACTTTTGATCTATCAACGTGAGCTCTCTTTCCATTTACCTATATTGTTTTGTAGTTTCTAGCCTATACGTTTTACGCTTCTTTAAAAAAAAAATTTATAGCTTAGTATTTTATACTTTGGGCTGCTATGTACACGGACTGTTTTCTTAGTTTCATTTTTGGAATGGTCGTTACTAATGTATAGAAGTACAAGCAGTTTTCATTTATTGATTAGTCTTTTGTCCTGTCACCTTGCTGAATATGTTTATTAGTGCTCAGAGTTTTTCAGTGGATTCCTTAGAATTTTCTATGTGGAAAATCATGTCATCTACAAATAGAGGTAGCTTTACATTTTCATTTCTACTTTGGATGCTTTTATTTCATTTTCTTGCCTAATCACCCTGGTTAGAATCTTCAGTTCCCTGTTGAATGGGATATACTCATCTTGTTCCTGATTGTAGGGAGAAAGCATTTTACCTTTTACTGCAAAGTATGATGTTAACTGTGCATTACTTGCAGATGGCCATTACCAGGTTGAGGAAGTTCCTTTTTATTCCTAGTTTGTCGAAGTTTTACAACGAAGAAGTTTTGGGTTTTGTCAGATCCTTTTTCTGCATCTACAGAGGTGATTATGTGATTTTTATCCTTTATCATATTAGTATAGTGTATTACATTAATTCAATTTTGAATGTTAAACCAGCCTTGATTGTTGAAATAAATCCCTCTTGCTCATGATGTATGATTATTTTTATATGTTGATGGATTCAAAAGGATTATATGCAAATCCTTTTATATGTTGCTGGATTTTTATCTGTTTGTAAATACTCTGTTGAGGGTTTCCACGTCTGTATTCATTGGGGATGTGGTCTGTAGCATTCTTGTGGTATCTTTGTCTGATTATGGCATCAGAGTAATACTGATCTCAGAATAAGTTGGAAAGTATTCCTTCCTCATCTGATTTTTAAAAAATGTTTTTAATCTTTTATTTATTTTTGAAAGAGAGATAGAGACAGCATGTATGGGGGAGAGTGAGAGAGAGAGGTAGACACAGAATCCGAAGATAGGCTCCAGGCTCTGAGCTGTCAGCACAGAGCCCGATGCGGGGCTCAAACCCACGAATCGTGAGATCATGACCTGAGCCAAAGTCGGATGCTTAACCAACTGAGCCACCCAGGTGCCCCTCTCTTCTGATTTTTAGAAGAGTTTGTGAAGTATTGGTATCAATTTTTTCTTTGAATATTTGATTTAATTTACCAGTGAGGCCCTGTGGCCTGAGCTTTTCTTCAGGGGAAGCTTTTTAATTATGAATTCAGTCTCTACTTGTATAGAGGTGCTGATTTTTTATTTCTTGTTGAGTCAGTTGTGGTAATCTGTGTCATTTAGTAATTTGTTGGCATACAGTTGTTCATATATTATGCTATAATCTTATTTATTTTGTAAAGTCAGTGTATTTTCCCTTCTTTCATGCCTTATGTTGGTTATTTAAGTTTCCTTCCCCCTCCCCCCTTTAGTTTTTGGCCAACAGTAGGAAAAGATTTGTCAATTTAGTCAAAACCAATTTTTTTTGAGTATGTATTACTTACTTCTGAAAATTCACTTATCAAATCCTAGATATACAGTTGTGAACAAAACAGACATGTTTTCCCTTTTCTCCAGACTCTTAGTCGAGTGGGAAGTATAGACATTGAACAAGTAAATGGAGAGTTGTCATAAACACTGTGAAGGAAACAAGTGGAGTGCTGTGAGAGGTGCGGGGAGCTGACTTCAGATCAGAAGACCAGGATGGAGCTCTGGGGAGGTGCCGCGTACCTGAAATGGGAAGATGGGGAGGCACCATCACTTCAGGGGGAGAATGTGGGCCTGTGGGGGGCGGGAGGTGCTATGGAGAATACCACAGATGATGTGAGCAAATAAACTGAGGCCCCACTGCCCTGGAGCAGGAGTAGGTAAAGAGGAAGGTGTGGTTGGTAAGTGGGGTTGGACCATGGGATCAGGGCCTAGT